AGGTCTTCCTGTTCTGTTTCTCAGACTCAGCACACTCGATTTGAAACCCTTATCTAGGAGACATGGGTAGACAGAGCACGGCTTCTTGGAGACTCAGTGTCACTCAAAGATTGTAGAGGGAAATAATAGCATAGCTGGGCAGCTAGCAGGGATGACAGAAGAAGAAGTGATGCCTTTGACTTGCGGTATTGGAGAAGAGTGTCGCATATCCCATGAACAAATGGAAATGCCTTGGAGAAAGTGCAGCTAGAGTGCTCCTTGGAGGTAACTATGGGCAAAGCTCTGTCTTGTATATTGGACATGTTGCTAGGAGAGCCTATTCTTTGAGACAGGACATCATTCCTGGAAAGGTAGAGGGTCATTGAAAGAAAGGAAGACTCCCAATGAGAAAGGTTGACACAGTGACTGCAGCAATGTGTGTGAGAGGTTATGAGGACGGCCGCAGACAGGACAGCGTTCAGGTCAGTCCACAGAGTCACTAGTGTGTGTGTAAGTCACACTTGACTCAGTGGCACTTAACAATAACTTTAGTTGGAACCACATGGGGGGGGAAAAGTATAAAATTAATGCGATTTGAAGATAAAACACAAAGTGTCAAAGAGCAGCAATATTCAAGATAAGTCAAGCCATGTCTGGAGACACATCCCACCTCGCTTCCTTACCTCGCGCCCCTGGATGGAGACCTGCTCACTCTTTCCAAAATGTCAGGCACCTTTGAGTGATGAGGCCCTTTGAGAAACACTAGCTTCATGCATTACTCGCTGATCGTAGCTGCATTTTAACTGGGACCTTCCGAACTCTCACAGCCACTATCTCCTGTGGGTGTTGGATTCACATTCTTTAGGACATAAGCAGGTATTACGTTTGCATAAACAAATGAAACATATAATTAGGACTCCTGGACTCAGGGCTCCAGTGCACTATAACTTTCTTTCACCCCCCATTCTGTTTTGTTTTGTTTAAATTTATTATTAATTTCAGTAAAAACTTACAGAGACATTGGATTTCCATTCATTCATTGTTGCACCCTCTTGGAAAAGTAAAAGAACAAAAATTCTTTCATTGTTTTACAAAACCTCCCCCCAGGTGCACTCCACCATGTAGCCTTCGCTCTAGACTCACACTATAACTTTCTAAGAAGGGGTTAGCTTATCCACTTTTCTGGGGTCAATGGGGTCAGCACCAACCACTGCCCAGATGGAGTCCTAGAGGTCACAAGTCCTCGGCCTGCTTCCCTGACAGTTGTCCCGACCTGTGTGTGAGCATTTAGCATTCCTGTTCAAGAGGGCAAAGACATAGGGAAGACACTGGAGAAGAGATTGCTCACGAGGTTGTCTCACTCTTCAATTCCTCCCTAAGTGTAGTCAGATTCTGGCCTTAGTTTCCATTCTTCACCTGTGAGCAAATCTTATCCATCTGAAGAGTAAGGCTCATCCAGGGAATCAAATCTTCTACTCCAGGGAGCTGGAGCTTGAGCAAAGACAATCTGGTCAATTACATCCTCTGTTTGGCCAGGTTTCATTACAGGTCTACCAGAAAATGCTCAAGTCAAGTCCAGCTGGCCCTGCTCCTGGTCTCATCTCAATTAGTAATTTCACTGAATGAAATAAGACTCTGAAGACTTCAAAAGACCTCAGAGATCACGGAACGCAGACCCAAGTTCGTGGCTAAGAGGATGCAGAACAGTGAGACATTTCGTGGTTATGGAAAGGAGAGGGCTCTGGAGGAAGCCCACCGGGGGTGGAAAACTGTGCTTTGTCATTTGTTGGAGAAGGGAAGGGGCCTTTGATGGGCTTTAGTTTCTTCAACTAGGAAGCAAAGGTGTTGGGAACTCTTCTCATAGAGCTGATGCTGAGATTAGGGAAAAGTCAGGAACATATACTAGTATATCAAGTTCAAGGGAAATGACATACCAGTCAAGCTAAGGCCAGGGAGAAAAAAGAAAAAAAAAAGTTGGAACACATCAACTCAACTCTGGTGGTCCAGTGGTAAGAAGCTGCACTGCAATCCCGAAGGCACTCAGTTCTAATCTACCAGCTGCTCTGTGGAAGAAGGAAGGGAATCTCCTCTCCTGTGATATACAGGCTCTGAAAATCCACTGTAGAGTCAGTCAGCTTTGAGTCCGTTCCAACTCGACAGCACACAATAACAATAACAATAACCAATTATTAAAGGAAAACTTCTAAATTGTCCTTTAAACATCCTAAAAGCCAAAGCAGAAAAGGAAATGGAATGGGTTGTATGATTTGGTATTTATAAGATAAACATACTCATGTTGTTGTTGTTGTTAAGTGCCGTCGAGTTGTGGGAGACTCATAGCGACCCTATGAATGAGAGTCCTCAACACTTGTGTGACTTTCATCCTTTCTCCAGGTTTATAGGGTTTCCGGAGGACTGTTGGATTAAACCTGGACTTGTATTAGGAGATATTCTTTGCCCCCCTGGCTCTTCAGCCTATTTCTCTAATAAACCCACAACTCTGAATAAAGTCTGTGAGTCTTGCAACAAACATTGGACCAAATGATTGGTAAAAATAGGTTCATGAGCATGGGTATTGGCATGTATGACTGTAGCTATTTGTACGGTGTTATGGACATTATTGATGGGGACAGTTCCCCTTTATGAAGCTGGTAAGTGGCATCCACTTCTATAATAGCTCGCCTCCAGAACAAATTCACAGTAGAATAAAAATAAAGTTTTAAAAAAAGTTTTCATGGTTTTATTTTCAAGACGTGTTCTTGTTTTAGAGGTACACTAATTAAGGCTGTAACATATCGATAGGGCTATGAACACACAGATCAATAAAACAGTATAAGGAGCAGATCCAACCAAGTACAGCCAATTGATTGCTGGAAGAGGTGGAAAGGCAAATCAACAGATAATGAATAGTCTTTTTCCACAATAGTGCAGGAATAATTGGAAATCTATAGGTAACAACAACAGGAAAGAACCTATACCTAACCTTCATACCTTATATAAAAACTAGCTTAAAATGGATCATATATTTATGCCTAAAATTATAAAACTTTCAGGAGAAAATCTTTAGGGACTAGAACTCAATGAAGAGTCATGACACTAAAAATAAGATCTACAAAATAAAAAAAAAATATACACTGGACTTTATCAGAATTTAGCTCTGCAAAAGACCCTTTTAAGAGAATGAAAAGATTGGAGGAAATATCTGTAAAGTACACATCCAATGAAAAATTTATGTTAGCATGTGCAGGCAATTTCCCAGATTATAAACAAATTCTGTTCTGAAAACAGTCTTTAAGTCAAATTTAGACACAAAGGGAGATTTGTACACCTATGTTCTTAGTGGCGTTAATCACAAGAGCAAGAAAATGGAAATAGCCCCAATGCCCATCAACAAATCAAAGGATTGAGAAACTATCCTATATTCACATAATGGAATACTATGCAGCACTAAAGAACAATGTTGTAAAATACTACATAACATAGGAAAATCTAGAGAATATTATGCTGAGTGAACAAATTCAGACTTATAAGGACAAATACTACATAAGATCATTATTGTAAAAATAGAGCCGGCTCTCTGGTGGCCTCATGGCAAGAAGCTGCACTACAACCCAGAAGGCACACGGTTAGAATCCACCAGCTGCTCTGTGGGAGAAGGATGGGCAATCTCCTCCCACGCAATTAACTGCCTCTGAAAACTCACCAGAGGGTCAGCAATGGGTCAGTGCTGACTGGACTGTACACAACAACAACAACTAGTAAGATGAATATATGTCCAAAGGGTAAAGGGGGAAAGAAAGAGAAAAAGAGGGAAGGAAGAAAGTCATTAGGAGGTTGGTGGGAGAATGGGGGTGGTGGGAAGCAAAAGGCTTTCCACAATGGAGACTTAAAAGATGAGGTGAAAATAAACATCGATCAACAGTAAGGAATTATATGAAATATAATGTATATGAATGATTGTACAAAACACAATGTAAATGAAAGATTATAAAGACATACATGAATGAGACACAACCATAAAAGACATAATGTATGTGAATGAGACAATATGTATTTTGTATTGTAAACCAATACAAATTTTAGAAGAAAAAGAACCCATCTCACCTACCAATAATCTCACACTGAATGTGAATGACTTAAACACCAATTAAGAGAAAAAAGAGTAGCAGAATGGATTAAAAACCAAACCCCATCCATATATTGCCTATAAGATTCCTATCTAAGGAATTAGGAGAAAGACTGAAAATCAAAGTGTAGAAAAAAATAATATATCAAGCAAATGGCAATCAAATGAAAACTGGAGAGAAAATAGTAATTGCTGTTAAAATAGACTTCAATATAAGCCAGTATAAGAAATAAGAAAGGACACTACTGTGCTTAAAGGCACAATGGAACAAGAGGGTATAACTTTAATTAACAGAGGGTATAACTTTAATTAATATCCACATACTAAAATGATACAAAACTACATGATCATATCAAGTGATGTGAAAAAGTCTTTCAACAAAATAAAGCACCCTTTCCAGATTAAAGCACTCAACAAAATAGGAATGGAGGGGGATTTCCTTAACATAATTAAAATGATATACACAAAACCAAGAGCCAACCTCATACTAAAAGGAGAGAGATTAATGGTATTCCCCTTTTGAAAGAGCGACCAGGCAAGGATGCCACTGTGAGAATGTCTCTCTCTCTCTCTCTCTCTCTCTTTAACTGTTGCAAAAAGCTTTATTGTTCCATTTTGGTACAAGGCTTGGGTGAGGTGCTTCTTGATGGATAAGATTCTGTACCAACGCAGGAAAGAGAAGCTTGTTGCTGATGGCAGGGGGATGCAGACCCCCTAGTCATGCCTGAGGGTGAGATACTCAAAAAGAGATAATCGCCCAGCTCAGCCTGGGGGCTGCCCGTCTTCTAATGTTGGTCAGATGGTCATTCATCTTCTTCAGCAGTTTCACTTCCTCATCCAGGAGGTGGTTCTCCAGAAAGTCACAGAGATGGGGGTCACTGTGGGCGGAACCCACGACGTGCAGATCCAGAAGGGCCTGGTTTAGGTTCTTCTCCAAGGCCAGTGCTGCTTCCACGGAGTCCAGGGTTTTACCCCACTCGTCCTGGGATGGCTTCTGGATGTCTTGGAAGAGGACTTGGCCGCCACGCTGGTTTTGAAGCTTCAAGAGCCACTCGGCACTCTCATGCTTCTTCTTCACCAATTCGTGGAAGAAGAAGTGTCCCACGCCTTCCAAGGCCACATCATCGCAGTCAAAATAAAAACCCAGAGAGAGGTGGGTATAAGAGGCCCACAGGTGCAGGTTGACCAGACAGTTGATGCCGGCCTCTGCTTCAGCGGATTAATTTTTTTTTTAAATTTCCATTCGTTCATTGTTGCTTGGTGGAATAATTTTGATGGATTATAGTTGGTCAAGGTTTTGGGGCTAACAAAAAAAAATTGTGTTAGTTTGTCTCAAAAATAGGAGATGGCTAAGACGGTCCTGAGGTTCCACCTGGAGATGAAGTTGGAGGGTAATGAGAGGCTGGAGATGAGGAGTCACCGGGTCTGTTCCATCCAAACACTGTTGAAGCTAGAAACAGATCTACGAGCCTGCTGGGGAACTGGAGAGTGGGACCAAGGGGTGTCTTCTATCAAGAATTTCTGAAAGTCACTGTACTTCAGTGGATTGTCTATGTGTGAGTTTAGATGTACTGCTGGGAACACTCAGTGAGAAGCTAGATGAAAACAACTTACTAGGTAGGCACATGGATGTGTCCCCAAGAAAAACAGGGTGCTTTCATGAGACCCCATAAAACCCGGAAGAGCAGCTATGAAAACTAAAGTTCTTGAGAGCTTGTGGAAAATACTGAGAAGCTATCATCCTTGAGGATTTACAGTAAATAGAGGTAAGCTTTTGTGTCTTTGTTGGTACTATCTGAGTTGTTGTTGTTGTTGTTGTTGTTGTTGTTGTTGTTGTTGTGGGCCATTGAGTCACTTGCGACTCATAGCAACCCTATATACAAGAGCTCTAAGTGCCGTTCTATCCTGTGCCAACCTCACCGTCTC